TGGTTGCCCTTATCTGCAGTTTCTCAAGTTCCCCAATGTTCCTTTTGTGAATTGGTGCCCAAAAACTGAACTGCATATTCCAGATGAGGTATTACTAATGATTTATACAGGGGTAATATCTCTCTCTCTGGAGTCTATACCTCATTTAATACAAGAGAGGATTTTGCTCGCTTTAGAAACCACAGCTTGGCATTGCATGCCATTATTAAGTTTATGATCTACCAGGACTCCCAGATCCTACTCCACCATTGATTGTCCTAGTTGTTCTCCCCATAATATGTATGATGCATGCATATTCTTAGCCCCCAAGTGCATAACCTTACAATTATCAACATTACACCTCATTTGCCACATAGTTGCTCAGTTAAACAGTGCATTAAGGTTAGCATATAAGTTGGAGACATCCTGTAAGGACGTTATTCCACTGCACAGCTTGGTGTCATCTGCAAAAACTGAAACTGTATTTTTAAACCCAGACCTTATATCGATTATAAATGTGTTAAAAAGTAAGGGTCCCAACACTGAACCTTGGCGTATACCACTAACAACCCTAGACCATTCAGAGTATGAATCACTACCCACTACTGTCTGAATATGATCTTTTAGCCAATTTTCTATCCATTTACATACTGATTTTTCTAAGCCTGTAGACTTTACCTTACACATTAGCCATGTGTGGGGAACTGTGTCAAACGCTTTTGCAAAATCCAAGTATACCACGTCCACAACCACCCCTCTGTCCAAGGTTTTGCTCAACTCATAAAAAGAAATCAGATTTGTTTGACAACTTCTGTCTTTCATGAATCCATGCTGTCTGTTGCTTAAAATATTTTTTTCCAGCAAGAAGTCATCTATGTGGTCTTTTATTAAACTTTCCAGTATCTTCCCAACTATAGATGTTAAATTGATAGGTCTATAATTACTTGGTAAAGATTTTGATCCCTTTTTAAATATTGGCACCACATTGGCCTTAAGCCAATCCAGTGGCACTATGCCAGTCATTAAAGAGTCCCTAAAAATTCGAAAAACAATGGCTTTGAAATGACAGAGCTCAATTCTTTAAGGTCCCGTGGGTGTATGCCATCTGGTCCAGGTGCTTTATTCACCTTTTTTCTCTCTAAATATTTCTGGATCATATCAATTGTGAGCCAATGTGGTTTTCTAGGGCTGTGTCAATACCATGCCCATTATGGACAAGAGCTCCCCCATGCTCCTTTGTATACACAGAGCTGAAGAAGGTATTTAATACATTTGCCTTTTCTTTGTCCCCAGTCACCCACTCTAGATTATTTTGTAAAGGGCCTACATGCTCGGACCTGAACTTTTTACTAATAATATATTTGAAGAATTTTTGGGGGGTTTGTCCTGCTATCTTTAGCAATCTGTCGTTCGTTTTCAATTTTTGCGGCCTTGATTTCCTTTTTACATATTCTGTTATATTCTTTGTAATGTTTAAATGATGATAGAATTCCTTAATTGTTATATTTTATAAAAGCTCTTTTCTTATTAATTATAGCTTTTTTAACTTTGGCTGTAAGCCACATAGGTTTGATTTTTAGCCTTTTAAACTTGTTGCCTATGGGAATATATTTTGCATTGTGTTTACATACAGTCTTTTTGAAGACCTCCCATTTCTGTGTTGTGTTCATTGATGCCAATATTCCCTCCCAGTCTTAGAGAGCAGCTCTCAGCCTTTGAAAATCAGCTCTCTTAAAGTTGAGTGTTTTTTATTTTTCCCATATGTGCTTGTTGTTTACAGCTAACAATAAATGAAATCATGTTATGGTCTTTTATGTGGACATTCGTAATAAGCTCTGCATGGTTTAAGATTACCAGGTCCAGCAGAGCATCATCCCTAGTTGGGGCCTCTATGAACTGTACCATAAAATTGTTCTGTAGTAAGTTTATAAATTTTTGCCCTTTAACTGTTCCTGCAGTGCCATCACTCCAGGCAATTTCTGGGTAGTTAAAATCCCCCATTATTAACACTGTCCTAGCCCTTGCAGCCCTTTTGATCTGTGCAAGGAGCTGAGTCTCCACCTGCTCGTTAACACTGGGTGGCCTATAACAAACTCCAAAATTACCTTTGTAGTACACACCCCCATGTGCAGTTCCACCCATAATGCTTCAGCCTCATCACACTCTCCATCAACTATGTGCTCTTTCACACTTGCTTTGAGATCACTTCTCACATAGAGACAGACACCACCACTTTTCCTTTTAACCCTGTCTCTCCGAAAGAGAATAAAGCCAGGAATATTAATACCCCAGTCATGTGAAGAATGAAGCCAAGATTCAGCAATACCAATTAATCATAGTTCTCTTCATGCACCAAAGCTTCCAACTCACCTATTTTGCTTGGCAGGCACTTGGCATTGGTGAACAAACACTTTAATTTATTGACACCTATTGCACATGTATTTTTCATATTTTTTATTTTCATACAAACTGTATCAATTCCAATGGTTGTTTGTAACATGGGAAACTTCTTATCACCTACCATAACCCTCCTCCCATCTCTCCCCATTCTACCCACCAATAAGGACAGACCCCTGTCTGATCTGTCTGCCCCGTTATAAACTAATTCTCCCACCCCCCTCGATCCTAATTTAAATACTCCTCCAGCCGTGTGATGTACTAGTACAATAATTTCCATTCATTTGCTGCCTATAAATTATTTTATATATTTTTATTGGAAGTTTTTGATTGACTATGCAAAAGTACAACATAACTCAATAGTTAAAGAAAACATGATCCAATACAAGTATGTTCTGTAAGAAGCTACATAAGTAAAATTGTGATCCAAGAGTGGCCAGCAGCATGCAATAGATAAAGCTATTATTGGTCCACTTGGGAAAAGCTTTGGTTCATTGTTGTGTGGTTGCTATAGCAAACCTGTTAGACAATCTAAAGAGTTGTGATAAGCGTGATGTATAGAGTTCTGTCAGGTGTGCAGCTAAGGTCTAGTGATCAAAATCTTGGATTGAAACTGTGGCACAAAAATTTAATTTAACTATTTCAAACACTAAAAATATTGTCATAAAAGGAAAAAATGTAAAGAATATTATAGCACAGAGATAGCATCTTTCCTGTGATAGTTGACAGTTGGAGGTGTGATAAGGGGGGTAGAAGGATGAGAGAGGACAGTTTGGCAAGCCAAGGTTAGCGACTGTCCCAGTTTAAATCATTCCAATAAGTTTTTAAAAGTGAGTATCAAAGCAAATTCAGGGGTCCCACAGTCATTCAAAGGTAGAGTGTTGATCATTCTAGCAGTAAGGGCTTCCATAGGTTTAACTTCTCAAATACAAGTGTGTAGTATAGGTCAAGTGCATGTGGTTCATTGGTCTACTTCTAGTGGGACACAATAAGACATCTTGTAGCTGTATGTGTGGCAGCAACTTTCTAGAATCTCTACTCGTGTTGAAAGGTGGAAGCCGTAATATATAATTGGAGGGATGAAGAGGTATCTTGATGTTCAGAAGTTTGTAGAGAAAAGTCTATAATGTTTACCAAAATGTTTGGAGCTTAGGACAGGTCTAAATATATGAAAAAGAGTTCCAGTTTGTTTACGACATCCCCAGCAATGGTCTGGAATTGTTGAATTTAGGGTATGATTTTACCGCATTTCTCTATAGTAAACTCTCTATTTAGTATGTGTTCCCATTTAAACATGTTATGTTTTGGTCTGGGTCAGTGTGTGGGGTCATTGGAATTTTGTACATACCATTTGTTGTAGGAGTATAAAGTGGATTAGAGAGTCAATTGTGTGAGATGAGGTGTGCAGTAATAATTTACATTAGTCCCCCATTTTAGCTCCAGTAGCCCTGTATCTTTTCTGATGCATATTCTGGTTCAAATGCTGCTTTCTGCATTGACATACCTTGATAGACCCAGTCTGTCAAGACAGTAGTGCCACCTGCTGACTTGGCATCATTCAAAGGCAGCCTAACTCTTCAGGAAGACACAGAAGTTGAATCCAATGCAATTTTACTTGGGTGCAGTACAGAGGATGCTTTTCCAGTCTTTTTAAGGTATAAAAAGACAATGTCTCCCTAAGCACTGTTTTTCTAGCTAGTAGAAATATGTAATTATGGTCCTAAACAATCATACATGTCTGCATACATCAGAATAATAATAACCAGATACACATACTAGTTTAATGCTATAACAGAAAAACACGTCGGTGGGACAAGAACCATCCTGCCATGTGTAGGAAAAGAGATCTTATTAGAGAGTTTTTTCAGGTTTGATGTTGAGATTTTGTCTGGAAGTGTTTTAAAGTAGTAAACTAGTTTGGGAAGTATTGACTTTTTATTAGACAAGTGTATATCCAGCCAGGAGATGTTATGTGGCATCCAGCAGAGGGGGGGATAGTATCTTACAGAGTTTGGGGTTTAGGCGTCAAGTGGATGCCTAAGCAATGAATACTCCAAGTGTTCCAGAAGTAGTGAAATTAAGCTTGGAGATCCGCTATGGTTTGAGGGTTTAAATTTATAGATAGAGTTTCCAATTTAGATTAGTTGATCTTGTATCCTGAAAGGGCCACAAAATCTGCAGTGCAAGTTTTTAGGTTACGAAAAATAATCAATGGTTGGTCAAGTGTGAGGAATAGATAATCTGTGAAAAGGGAAAGTTTTAACAACTTGTTGTAGATGGAGATCCTTTTAATGTCTAGATCATTGTGAATGGTAGATACATAATAAGAATAAATGAGGGGACAGTGGGCATCCCTTACTAGTTCCATTTTGATAGGAAATTAGGTGGTAGTGGCATAATGGACTTTTACTGTAGCAGAGGGGGTAGTACATAGGGTTTAACCGCCTCTTGCCCGCCATATAGTAATATGACGGACGCAAGGTGGTTCTCTCGTTCTGAGAGGACGTCATATGACGTTCCCACATTCTAACCGCACATGCGCGGCTCCCGGAGCGCGGCGATCGGCGGTGCCCGGTGTCCCTCGGACAGACCAAAAGAGCCGAAGATGTTGGCTCGGTCATGTGATCAGCTGTGTCCAATCACAGCTGATCACATGTAAACAGAGAAATGCCGGTTATCTGCATTTCTCTCCACACGAGCTGTCATGCTGACAGTTCGTGAGGAGAGGAGAGCCGGTAATCGGTATTCCTCGGAGGGGACATATACACAGATCATCAGAGCACTGATGATCAGTGTGCCCTGTGTAGCCCCAGCAGCGCCACCTGTCAGTGTCCATCAGTGCTCATCCATGCCACCTGCCAGTGCCCATCAGTGCCACATCAATGCTACATATCAGTGCCCATCTGAGCTGCCTTTCGGTGTCACCTATCAGTGCCAGTCAGTGCCACCTATCAATGCCAGTCAGTGCCACCTATCAGTGCTGCTGATCAGTGCCACCTATCAGTGCCAGTCAGTGCCGCCTATCAGTGTGCATTAGTGCCGCCTAACAGTGCCAGTCAGTGCCGCCTATCAGTTCCAGTCAGTGCCGCTTATCAGTGCCATATAAGTGCTGCCTTTCAGTGCCCATCAGTGCCCAAAAACTAAGAAAAAACTTTAAAAAAAAAAATTTCAGTGGTTTTTGGTTTGTTTAAGAAAAATAAAAAACCCCATAGGTGGGTTTCATATGGGTACAGTGTTCCATGACCGCGCAATTGTCATTCAAAGTGCAACAGCGCTGAAAGCTGGAAATTGGCCTGGGCAGGAAGGGGGTATAAGTGCCCTGTAGGCTAGTGGTTAAATAGTCATTAAGAATGGTCCTGTGACTCTTGTATGTTTTAAGGTCACAAAGAGAAAGGACCAGCTAAGGTAGTTGAATGCCTTTTTAGTGTCTAGGCTGAGGACAATTACTTTTATTAGTTTCTGTAGTATATTGATTTAGGTCTGTGCTCAGTACTTGATCTTTGTTGATTAGGGCTGGGAGAATCTTGAGGAGCCTATTAGCAAGGATTTAAGTGCATATTTTCAGTATATTCAGTAGGGCTATTTATCAAATGTGGCCCAGTTGGAAGCATCTTTTCCTTTTTTTGAGATAACCATAATTTATGAATGTGTCATAGATTAGTTGGCCTTATAAGAAGCTTCTAAAAAAGATATACATGTCTATGTACAGTATATATTATATTTGATAGTGTCCTAAGAAGTTGGATACTTTTTTTTTTATAGCTCTGCTAAAATAAAGTTTAAAGTGGTTATAAAGGCTCAAGGTTTTTTACCTTCATGCATTCTAAGTATATATTTTTCCAGAATTTGATAGCAATGCAAGTCTAGTAGAAGCAAACAGCATTCTGAATTTACCTTAAAAACACATTAGTTCCCTTACCACTACTACATAGGAAAGGTAACAATTATATACAAAATGTATTCAGTTGTTATAAATATAAATCATATGCTGTTCAAATTTTAAAATGTTACTTTCCTTTATATAACACATTAAAATAATGTTCCTACAACAAGGTGCATTATTTAACATTGCTTTCAAAGCAGAACTCGCTTCCACATTCCCCTTTGAGAAAGCCAGTGTGACTGGTGAAACATCAGGAATATGTGAGCTATGTGTAGACTTTATTGTGTTACCCCCTGCAGCATCACAAGATGGGAAATTTACTGTGGAAAAGAAACTATACCATGCTGGATGTACAGTATGTGTTTTTCCTTGTTTGTCATTCTTTGCTGTCAGCGTCATGTGGATGTATAGAAGGTTTTCCATGGGGAACCACTGTGCAGTATACTAACAGAAACTAAAGTTTATTTCACCACAGCAAGAACAATCTGATTAAACAGATGGACCTGACATCTAACCAAAGAGACTGAGATGTATGCTCCTGGTATTGATGTTGATTGGAGCAATATCATGGATTAATTGCTACAAAAGACTTCCCATTTAAAAAGTGGGAATAGATGATGCTGAATAAAATGTGGTCATTAAAAAAATAAATAATAAAAAATGATGGTAAATAATTACAGTGCTTTGAAAAAGTATGCATACCCCTTGAAAGTTTCCACATTTTATCATATTACAATCAAAAACGTAAATGTATTTTATTGGGATTTTATGTGATAGACCAACACAAAGTGGCACGTAATTGTGAAGTGGAAGGAAAATGATAAATGGGTTTCAATAGACTGTAACAGATTTTCTTCTAAGATTGTCCTGTATTTGGCTCTATCCATCTTAATCTTAGGCAATCTTAAACGAAAACCTGTTAGAGTCTGCAAAAGACTTGAGACTGGGCCAGAGGTTCACCTTCCAGCAGGACAACGGCCCTAAACATACAGCCAGAGCTACAATGGAATGGTTTAGATCAAAGCATATTCATGTGTTAGAATGGCCCAGTCAAAGTCCAGACCTAAATCCAATTAAGAAACTGTGGCAAGACTTGAAAATTGCTGTTCACAGATACTCTCCATCCAATCTGACAGAGCTTGAGCTATTTTGCAAAGAATATTGGGCAAAAATTTCACTCTCTAGATGAGATGTGCAAAGCTGGTAGAGACATTCCCAAAAAGAGTTGCAGCTGTAATTGCAGTGAAAGGTGGTTCTACAAAGTATTGACTCAGTGGGGCTGAATACAAATGCAACGCACTTTTCAGATATTTATTTGTAAAAATTTAGAAAACCATTTATCATTTTTCTTCCACTTCACAATTATGTGCCACTTTGTGTTGATCTAACCCATAAAATCCCAATAAAATACATTTACGTTTTTGGTTGTAACATGACAAAATGTGGAAAATTTCAAGGGGTATGAATACTTTTTCAAGGCACTGTAGCTTGTTTTGAAAGTAATATTGTTTTAATGTGTTAAAAAAATAAAAGGTAATGTATTAGAATTTTAAAAAACATAGATTTCTGGCTATTTATAACAGCAGAGTCAGCTTGTGACAACATTGTTGCCATACAGTGTAGCAGTTGTAAGTGGTTGGGTAAGTGTATATTGTTGGGTGAATTCCAAAATAAACTTTTACCATATCACTTACGCCTGTTTCACACTAAGGGGAGTTAAAACAAGTAACCCCCCCCCAACTGCCCACCTAATGTCTGCAGTACAGCCTCAGGGGGCTGTTAACATGCCACCGCAAATTTAATGCAGCATGTTGAGTTGACAGGTTAGTGGTTGTTGCACATTAGTCCTATTTTAACCACTTGCCCTCCAGAGGATTTACCCCCCTTCCTGACCAGGCCTTTTTTTGCTATTTGGCGCTGCACTATTTCAACTGGTAATTGCGTGGTCATGCAATGCTGTACCCAAACAAAATGTATGTCCTTTTTTTCACACAAATAGCTTTCTTTCGGTGGTATTCAAAAAAAGACCAAAAATTTAGAAAAAAAAAATATTTCCTCATTTCTGTCATAAAAAATATCCAAAAAACTAAAATTTTGTCATACATTTAGGCCAAAATGTATTTTTGCTACATGTCTGTAGTAAAAAAAATACCAGTAACTGCATATTAATTGGTTTGTGTGAAAGTTAAAGCATCTACAAACAATGGTATAGAAAATGGAATTTACACAGCTTTTATTTTCTGACTGCTAAAACAGGACAGTACAAACACCCCCGAATGACCTTTTTTTTTTTTTTTTAGGAAAGTAGACACCCTAAGCTATCTGCTGAGAAGCATGTTGAGTCCATGGAAGATTTATTTTTTTTCCCACAAGTTTTTGGAAAATGAAAAAAACATATTTTTTTTTTTACATAGAGTTGTCACTTAAATGATATATTGCTCACACAAGCCATGGGTATATGTGGAATTACACCCACAATGGGGATACCACATGTATGAGACTTTTTGGGAGCCTAGCCACATACAGGAGCCTGAACTTACACGTGGACAATTTTTATTGAAGTGTGCCACTATTTCGACATTTGTTCAATCTTGGAACTGGCGCATGTGGCAAAGTGTGACCTAATGTGTGCCCACTATTAGAAGTGGGTGGATGCAGGGAGAAATATTCTAATAGTGGGCATACCACACAATTTTTTTTGGCAGAGATTTCTTCTCTTTTTTTCATTCAGTCCACAGGCTGCATGCAAAAAAAAATAGAACAAAGCATACAGTATATACCCAGCAAGGACCAGCGATGTACTGGTACATCATTGGACTTTGAATGGTTATACCAGGATGATGCCTACAGCTGCAGGCATCATCGTGGTGTCATTTTTTTCAGCTGGCGATCGGCTTTCATGTAAAAGCAATCCTAGTGGCTATTTAGCTGCAGGATTGCTTTTACAAGCAGCAGGAGACAATGCCCCCCTCCCCCGCTGCCTTCCACGGCCTTCTCGGGCATTCCTGTGCCATCAGGGGAACCTGAGAATGCAGCCGGTGTTTCTGACAGCTGACCATAGAGCTGATTGGAGACCAGAATGGTGCCAATCATCTCTATAGCCTAAGAATTCAGAAGCTATGAGCATTTCATCACTTCAGTTTCACAGGATATAAACAGCACCCTTTGTAAATTGGGAAACCATCTGATCACACCGATCCTGGTTTGATTAGATAATGTAAGGGCAGAGGAGATATCTACAATAGAGTCTAATAGAACACAGATTTCTGTAAAAAAAAAAAAAATATGACAATGCCCATTGAAGTTATATAGGGGATATTTGCATGTCCTGTGATAGCATAAAAAGTGATAAAAAAAAAATAAAATAGAAGGACAGTGTAAAAATAACTAAAAAAATCAAAATAACAAAAAAAAAAAAAAAGTAGTACCCTCACCCCCCTCCCCCCCCCCCCCCCCCGGGCATGCGCACACCTCCGTCGTGAGCCTTGACCCTGTGCCAGTATGGAAACAGCAGTTGCACCATTCATGTGAGGTATCGTCATGAACGTCAGATCAAGGGCAGTAATTCTAATGCTAGACCTTCTCTGTAAATCTAAAATAGTAGCTTGTAAAGGCTTTTAAATCATTGCCTATGGATATTAAAAACATATGCAGTTTGTCGCCATTGCACGGGGCATGCACAGTTTTAAAGCATGTCATGTTTGGTATCTATTTACTCAGCATACCATCATATTTTATACTTTACCAAATAATTGGCCAATATATTGTGTTTTTGTGCATTAAAAGTAAAAAAAAATGTATTTTTTTTTTTTTAAATTGCGTTTGAAAAATCGCTGCGTGAGTACTATGTGACATAAAAAATTGCAGCACCTACCATTTTTTCACTAGGGTGTTTGCTTTAAAAAAAATATATAATGTTTGGGGTTTAAATTAATTTCCTAGCAAAAAATACAGATTATTTTCATGTGAACAAAAAGTGTCAGAAAACGCTTGGTCTTCAGGTGGTTAGAAGAATGAATGATGTGTGGCATAAACTTCTAATGCTGGGCAAAAAATGCCCCCACCCCCCAAAACGACCCCTTTTTGGAAAGTAGACACCCCAAACTATTTGCTGAGAGGCATGTTGAATCAATAGAAGAATTTAGTTTTTTACCACAAGCTTTT